CTATTATAGTTACTAGTTTTGTTTATAGTTTTTATTCCGATGTTTAACAGAGTTGTTAGCAAAGTCTTCATACATAAACAAGTAATATATGTGTCTACAACTGTTATTTTGTGAGCCGGAAGCAAAAAAGTTTGACAGCTTTCACCCTCAGCTGTTGACAATAATATTTAAATTATAAATTTAGCAAGTGCTAATCCACCAATGAATTAAGAAATTAGCAAAAGCCCTAAAGCACTAAACAGGAAATTATTTCCCCTATTAGTTCTTTAGTGGAACTGTGCCCACCTCTGCTGGGCTGTATTATGTATTGTTACTCTAGTTGTATATCATTGATTGGAACACCTGTGTAACTCAAGACTTCATGTGACCAAAGTCCAACAAGACGCGATCATACATCRTCTCAGATTAGTTCATTGGGTAGGATTTCTGCATGTTGCTTAAAAATACATTTCTGGAGCTTTGACACATTCAGCTGATTCTGACAGAAATGTTAACCTCAGCACGTGTTTGTTTCCTCTTCCAGGGTCTGGATAACATTACCGGGGAGCCTCTGGTCCAGAGAGATGACGACAAACCAGAGACGGTCACACGGAGACTGAAGTCCTACGAAACCCAGACAGAACCCGTCTTAGAGTACTACAGGTACTTAGTTGATTGTTTTATTAACCTTTACTTAAGCAGGCAAATYCCACTGAGATCACAGATCTCTTTTGCATGAGGCTAACTTGCACATTTATTGGTCTGTAGGAGGAAACCGGAGTACCCGGAGAAGCTGGTAAACAGGTCATTAAACTGTAAAAAGTATTTTGGATCTTGTTTTGAGACTGATCATACTAAGCAAGAGCATAGTGTTAGTTTATTAACCATAGTCTGGTAATTTTTCTAACTGCACTGACAGATTATTTCACTTCATTTGAGTSTGAATCTTCTCTAATTAAGTGATAATCTGCCAGTGGAATAAGACAATTTCCAGGCTAACAAGGTTATTAATCTAACACGKTCTGCTCTTGCTTAGTTTATCCTTCTCAAAACAAGATCAAAAGTACTTTTTGTCTGGATATAAGATTCTAAGACTTGGTTAGATGGACAGTTTTTGCAGTGGTACAGAAAACACCCAGGTCTGAATACGAGATCAAACCCTGGACCTTGTCGCTGTGAGGCATCAGTGCTACCAMTGAACCATCATGCTGTCCAAAATAAGTTTAAAACATACACAAATATACAAGAATTACTGACTGGCTCGTGTGAATTTAAGGTTCGTTTTTTTAGAACAGTTAAACTAATTCTGCAGAATTTTTTAAAATAACCAACAAATATATAGCACGTTTGGGGTTTCTTTGCAGAAGCTTTGGCAAATATAGCAGGCTTTAGATGTTTCCTGTAGCATTTCAGAAACAATTTTGTATTTTTATAAAGTAATTAAGTCAAATGAGCTCTAGAAATGAAAGGCAAGAGTCTTTATTATTTGTGGGTTTACTAATTTAGATTCTCTTTATTTTTTATTTTGCATCAAGACACAGACGTGTTTTYATAGCAAATGCTTAACCCCTTTTTTGTTTCACCGGTGTGTAAAAACGGTGAGGTTTCTGCCTTTAAACATTTCCAGACGCTCTGGGGACTTTTATTTTGAAAACCAGGGTGTTAGAATACCTTTAGCTTGACACCCTTACAAAAAACTAATAATGTTGAAAGGCTTTTAAAGAGATCCCAGATTAGTTGTAACATTAGACTTTATTTGATAAACATATTTTAACTGTAAAATAAAGACTGTAAAAATACTGTAGGTTGTTTAGTTTCGTAAATTTTTAAAAATATTTTTCAACACAGACGGAGCCATTTTATTTACACGCAAAGCATTCTGGGTAAATGATGATGTGGATAGGTCCTCGGTGCGAGGCTGTTAGCGAGCTATATCCACCCTGAAGGTTCATCTTGGACAATATCTGACGATCGACTCTTTTAAATGAAACCAGAGAGCGTTGACAGAGAGGAGAAGGTAGAAATGACTCAGCCTGTAACTGAAAATGTGAACGAACAGAGCTGCTTCATGGAAGAAGAACCCCTTTGTGCTAGCACTGATGCTATATTGCCTTATATGTATTAGCTCGGTGCTAGCGCGACAAACAAGCTAAACTG